AAAAACAAGGCACTCGATTTTTTTTTTTTTTAAAACATATATTTCTTTTAAAGTCCAGAAAATTCTTTCCATTTAAAATTACATTTTAGAGGATTAAATATTTTCAAATAAGAGTATTTTCACTCCAGAAGACATCTGCCCTTCTGTCTGCCCCATGAAAGGTCTCCTTGGAAGCACTAACCACACACTGCATGCAACGCCTGCCAGTGAGGCTGATGAACTGAACTTGTGAGGAGCGGGGGCCCTTCTGGAAGCAGTCCTTAGCCCTGGGGGTCCGGGCAGCCCCGCCACGCATCACAGGGGTCAGGCAGGCACCCAGGGGGGCGCAAGTTTTGCAATATGCAACATGGTATCAGCAAAAAGAATACCAGCAGGTAAGGAGTGAAAAAAAATTTTTAAGTACTTCAGGTGCTCCCCAAAGCAAAAGAGAATTTTAAAAGTAAGAAATAATTATTTTGCAGATGTATGTACAAAATGCTATGTCTATTTTACGGAATTTGTTTTACATAGGGGAGGTCTCAACCAAAGAGGTTCAAGATATGTGATTCAAACTACTTCCAAGAAATATCACTTATTTCCCAAGAACCTAGATATTATGTTCTTCTACTATCTTGTATTGTTAATTTGGCTAATAGTAATTAAACTTACACATTTGAGGGTTTTGGACTAGCTGTGGAAGAGTTGCACTAATCTAATATCTGTTATTATTATTTTTACAGAAGATTTAAAATTTAAAGTTAAAATTTAAAATTTTAACTTTACGTGCCTGAATTTCCACATACTTACAAAAGTCAACTTGGATTTGAAAACTTTTGTATCAGAACACACTAATTTTGTATGTAAAATATATAAATATGACCTTTATAATTCATACTATCTCACAGGCACACTGCTGTTGTTCCTGATGTGGCAGTGGAACCTTAAAATGCTTATTTTAATGACTAACCTGCTAAATGCTAAACAGTGACCCCAATCCAGCAAATAATTTATAGATTTAGTTAAACACTGCAGTTTGGGTGATTTAGAGCTGTTGATTATACTCAAACTTGTACAAGTAATGAAGTTACCTTTCAGCATTGTTCCCAGGGAAAATAGTGGGAAAAGATAAGAAAACTTCTAACAATTACGATTTAAATCATGTCTCAATGGAATATAGCTGTATTCAACATATATTGATAGCAAGAATTAAAAGCTTAATTTTTCCTTATGCATGAAGCCTCAAGTCATTTCACAAACTGAATTAGCATTAAGGAATTTCTGCATTTATCACAGAAAATCCATGTGTCTATTCCTTCTAGGAAAGCAACTGAAAAGTTCCAGCGCAGTAGGGAAAACAGGAGAAAATGTATTTAAAACAAACACCTTTATAAAACAATTCATTAGACTATTTTTCCCACAGTAATAAAGAGCAAAACCCCAAGGCAAATTCATGCAGAAATGCCTTTTGCAGTTGGACAACTTTTTTTTTCCAGTTTCTGTTACACTCAGATTGGTTTGCCTTACATGGATAATTTGCAAAGAAAAATATACCTTTTTATGTGCACATACAAGGCAAGATGAGTGAATGCAAAGATTCACATAAAAAAAAAACCAATAAGCATGAGTCCTGTTAGATCCAGGTGGTAAAAGAAGCAACTCAGAGGGAAGGGAAAGGCTACTCAATGTGAATTGCCCAGTGCATGTGCTCTCTTTCTTTCTGTTAGTCACTGTAACTTTAGTAATTTCCCCTGATACCTTACTTTTCCATTTCTGTCAGAATTCCAGCCCACCTAGTTTTTTCCTAGTATCACTTCAGTGTTTTCTTAAAGCTTGCTAGCCAAATATTTATAAACCTCATTTACAGAAACATTAAAGTAAAATAGGACTCCGAGTTCACCACACGGCAAAAATCTCAAGAAAAAGCTTTGCATTTTGCCTAGCGCTTTTTGTTACATTAAATATTTGTCAGAAAATGAGCCCTGCAGTAAACTAGGATCTCTAAGGACATTTTGAATGCTTGCTTCCACTTTGAATCCTTGCAAAACACTTGGGAAGAGTGCTGATTCCTGTAAATACTTCAAACTGCTTTTTGCTAGCTTTACTTGTTTATTCATTCAGTACGCCTTGTTTGGGATTGTGCAGCACTGAAAATACAAGTTCTCGATTTTTCAAATATCAACTCTCTTTGAGAAAAATAAAGCATAGCAAAAGATTCTATTAAAAAAAGGTTTAAAGTAAAAAAGTCTAATTACAAAACCTTCCAGATTCTTCAGAAATGGAACCGTAAACATATACATTACAAGAAAATCATAATGTAGCCATATTATAAATTATGTTTGATATATTTTTATATAATAATTATTATTATATTGATAAATTAAATAAATTATTTAGACATAGATGTTGCCTATCTCTTCTAAGAACTGGTATCCAGATTGCTTTAGTCTCCACATCAAAGATCTTACATGTAGACTTATACACGGGAGATGAAAAAAGAACCCACACAGCTCTTTTCTAAAGATCCTTATGCATAATTCTTGCTGCTTTATCCCACAATTTTTCTCAAAACACTTCTCCTCTGAAGGCCGAGGCACTTTTAAATAAAATTTGTCAAATATATGTGAGTAGAGAGAAATTTATGATAATGGTACATTTAACTAGCAACAGACTCAAATTACCCTATTGGAATGCTGTACCGGTATTAAACATGGCACACCTTGAACCAGATCAGGAATTTTTACATATAATATGCACATTTGAGTGCATGCCATGAATCAATTTGTCCAATTTATGAGAAATGTCTGATCAACATCATATTTATTCTATTTTTCCCCTCATCTTGTGTCTAATATAGTATCTCATATCTCATATAATATCTGAAAATCATTTCAAGTCATGAGAATGTATTTTGTTATCAGTCCTGAAGTAATTTTACAGGCATATTTCTTACTGTTTTGAAGGATTTGTGGGAATCCATTGCAAGAATGCATTTCTCTTCACAGCCTTCCTATGAGGAACCTCAGTTTTACCTCTACATTTTATATGTCAAGATTGTCAAAGAATAAGTCTCACTGGCAGTTATTAGGGGACCATGGAACTGATCTCTATTCCTTCAGAGCCCTAAAAGGCAACAACAGTTGGATCATTTTTTTCTTTTTGAGGAGAGACAGTTGCAGACAAACACACCGTGTCGGCTAGCTGAATCTTACTCTGAACAACAAGCCATTTTAAAGAGATAAAAGTACACAATCAGCTAGCTACACACTATTTCAGCAAGAGCTTTAAGATACAAACCACAAAAAAACCCAAAAGCAGATGAACTAACAGTTACTTGTTCGTGGCTCCTTAGTAACTTAGGCAAAGGAATTTTCCAAGAGCTCAGGAAGGTGAAGCTAGCTGCCTTTGCCCTGGGGAGAGGTTGGGTGGGCAGAGCAATAGCTGCAACTGCTGTTCTTGCCTTCTCTTTGCAGCACTGGCAATAACCACAATAGCCAGTGCGGCTTTCAGAGATTCAGCCCAGGCAACTTTGCTGCCTCTGGCAGTCTACTGCTCCAGGCAACATTACCTATGCCTAGAACTAGCAAAGCATTAAATGATACATGTACATATTGTTTGTCCGTTCGTAAGCACGAACACACAGAACATATATCTAAAAATACTCAGTTGAAGGCTGCACATTTCTGTAGCAAGATTTTGCTAACAAACATAATGATTTTTGTTTTCCTGGTATCTTTATTTTTCTGTGTAATTCCATTTACTTTTTGTTCTTTCCCTATGCTACATGTCTGCAGAACTGATAGCTGCAGGTCCAAATCAATAAGAAAACTGTGGGTTCAGAAACTGCTGCAAAATTTATTGTACTTCTCTGTTCACTGGTGTGAAGCAGAAAGGAGGCTTGAGAAAGAAGCTCAAAGCAACAGCAGCTAAAGTTCTGCTCCTTGCTCCTTTTGCCCAATATCCGCAAATGCTCTGTGAGGTTCTTGCAAGTTCTGAAACAGCTTTAGGAATTGATCTGGAACAACTGCTTTGATAACTCTGGTTGGAAATACTGTATGTTCAGTATTATTTAGCTTTATTAGTAGTACTTAATCAGCTGCCTGAAAGACTGCAGGATCAGTCTGCATTGTCGTTTTTCTTTTTTCTTTAATACTGCCCTTTTCTCCTTAGCTAACAAATACTGAGCCCTTCTTTTCACTTACTTTATCAACACTAAAGTGTGCTATAAACCAGTATTGCTATGGTTGAACAAGAATTAATGTGTCCTCCTACAGCTGTCTAATGTTTTGCAAAAACAAACAACTATTGTCAAGTTATTTGCCTTAGGAAAAAAGCAATCCCTCCTTTAACCTATATTCAAGTTTCTGATGCAATACAACTAGTGCCCAAATTCTGATTATATAATTTTTCAAAAATTATTTTATTACTGGTGATATTTTCTGCAAACTGCAAATCTGCAAAGATTTTCTTAAATTTCAAAATAAAAGAACTGATGAAAATATTACCAAGCATAATACTGCATTCTTTAAAAAAAATATAAATTAGCCATACATTTTAAATAGACACCTCGTTTATTAGTTTCCAAGCAAATGTTACCAAAAAGCTAAATTATAGTTGAGATATTATAATGTCATATTTCATAATGACATTTAGAGGTTGAATTATTTTGTTCTCTTTATTTTCTAAAATCGAATATTATCTGGTAAAATGGATATTTGACTAACATTTAAGAACATACAGACATAGTATAAAATGACTGCACTTTCAGTGGGAGCTATACAACTGTCCAACAACATATGGTTTTGTATGAGATTATAATAATTTATTTCAAAATACCACCCTTCCTAGAATGAAAAAATTAAAACAGCCAGAGAACTGAAAATTCAGAAGGATTAGGTAAATTAAGTTTTCTTCTCTCTAGGATGACAGTGCTGGCAAGCACAACTTTTATCTTTATGCAAAATCTAATTTTTATCAAACTATTTCTAAAAATTACAGGATTATCCATAAGGGAAGATACTTACAGATCCTGCCACTTGAGAGGCACTCTGAAATTCATCAATATCCTCCGTAAGTGTTTCAACCCCGGGTACTTGAGCTGTTCCAAAGAGGTAGAAAAGAAGTAAATCACTCTAATTAAGTAATCATTAGTCACTTTGAAAATAAAATGCCTATAAATTAACTGCTGGGAAGGTAAATGCAGCTACTGTAAACGCACTGCTTTTCAGTTACTCTTCAATGGATTTTAATTTATGTCTTATTTTAAATTATGTCTGATTTTATGTCTGATCTTAATTTATAAGCTTAATGCAATGTGGAACAGTGTCTCTAACACAATTAGAGTGATAAGCAAGCTTCCTTCAGCTGCCAAGGTGTCTTGTAGGTTATTTATTATTTTTACTATTAAAACTAAATCCTCTTTGTCCTTTACACAAATGAGTAGTGGATCTTCAGCTTTAATTTTAATTTATGTCTGATTTTATGTCTGATCTTAATTTATAAGCTTAATGCAATGTGGAACAGTGTCTCTAACACAATTAGAGTGATAAGCAAGCTTCCTTCAGCTGCCAAGGTGTCTTGTAGGTTATTTATTATTTTTACTATTAAAACTAAATCCTCTTTGTCCTTTACACAAATGAGTAGTGGATCTTCAGCTTTAATAAAATCAATAAAATTAAATTAAATTAATTCTGTTAAACTAATTAGAATATAGTTAAAATCCTTGAAGTAAGAAGTTCTGGTCACTTTAGGCAATGTTTAAAAGCCATGCAAGCTGTAATTTCTGCCCGTACTGCCACATTTGTAAAACAACATGACTTAGTGAGAAGGCTACAGTGCCTCTGTGACACATACATTAACGACTTAAAACAGAATTGATGTACCTATGTCAGAGAAAGCAATTTCCAAGTAACATGCCATGCAGTTTCACTCTTTGCCTGACAGTCTGCTAGGCGCTTAGATGATGTTCATAAGCAGCCTAAGAAAACAAGATGCCCTGATCTTCCCCAGGTTCTGCTTTATTCAGACACTTAGCAGGGAGGTCCTTATGTTTTCAGAGTGCCCTGATTTGTTAAACATCTCAGCCTATACTTACTATAAAGACAGAACTATACTGAAGTACGGCAACTACGGTTACCACATTCATTGCAAACACAAAAGCAAGCAGAGGAAGAAGAAGTAATGACGATGCAAAGTTGTGGTCAGAGAACTGTGCAGGAATTGGGAGATGATGCCACATTTTTGCCACTGCCGTATCTAGTTCTCAACCCTAATTCCCACGTATTTGCATCCTTATTAATTTTTTACCCTGGTCATGCAGTTCCATCTGGAATAGCACTATAGGCGTTTCATACATTCCTATTTCTATTGAACATCCCCAATTTCAAACTTTTCCTCTACATCCAAATGCCTGTTTTGAACTTTCTACTATATTGGCACTTTAAAGTTAAAAAAAAAAATGTAGAAGCTACATATCCTAGTCTTTTCAAGTTTCTTCAAGTAGAAACTTTCTAGTTTTTACTGGATAGAAACAGGAGCTGGCTAACTGCAAATAATAAAAAACAGTGACTCCTGTTTTGATAGGGAATGAACTACTGATGTGGAATTTGCTTAGTAAAATTTATTTAGCAAACTAAATATTATGTATCACAGCATAATCTGTGTCTAATAACACAACAGAATAGGAAATATCACACGTACACACTGTGGCATAGTACCGTATAATCTATCATTTTCAGTCCAATTATATTATTCCAGGTAAAGCCACAAAATAAACAAGTCTTTGCCCACACCCCAGAAATATGTGGAGTTGCATAGTACGCTGCCAAGTAACTCACTTTACAAACAGCTTTTTCAGACAAAATGAGGAGTGGTTTAGAAGTGCTACGCTTTTCATTTATCCAATATTAAGAGTTTACTCCCTAATAAGTTATAGTATTTTAAGCTTCCTTCTACAAGAATGCACTGACTGCAAAGATCTTATTTGCAATAATGTCTTCTTTTGCTGCCTTATATCATGGCTTTCACTCAAAGGTTAAGGTACTTTTCAGCAAAAGAGACTGAAACAAGTGAAACAAGGTTCTATGGTTCTTATAGACAACTGGGATTGAATGAACAATTATCCTTTAGTGATACTATTTCTTAATATCCAAATTAAAAAAATAAAAATACACAGTAGTAGATGACGTCTACAATCCCCCAACCTGAAAAACAGACTGAGGGCTGACAGATGCAGATTTTTACTGGATCAATCCTGTTGCAGTGTCTATCTTTTGAAGCCTCAGCCATTCTCCCCATCTATCTGTACAGAACAAGAGCAAGGCTTAATGGAGGACTGATCCAAGAGACAAACCTGACAGGCTTGGCATCTACAGGGGACGTTTGCTGTGTGGTCACCAAAGCTGCTGCTTCTTATCAAAATCAAGAACCTAGCTATTAAATTCTTCCCGTAGTTCTTTCCTGTGAAGTGGTCCAATGGGAAAGAGAAACAGTTTTGAGAGGTATAGATTAAGACAGTAAAAAGAAACTGCAGCGTTAAAGCGTCTTGTGTTCTCCGATTTTGAGACCTGATTCCTATCTCTCATTTTTACTGCTTAGATCAAACACAACTCTGTCCAGTTCAGCAGGATTATACTAGAGGGAAATCAGTGTAGTGGTTAATTAGAACCAGATCCAGATTGCCAGTGGAGTCAGTATAGTGCCTGATGCTGCAGATGATCTTCTCACATAAGCTATTACATTGACTTTATTAGGTGGAATTGCTTTAGTAAGGCTTATTTATAAGTGCTGTTAGATCAGATGTGCTGCCAATTACTTCTGAACCTAGTTCATCTGAAATCCACGAGAGAGATGCTCCAGATCTAACAACTTAACAATTTCCCACTAACGCAGAAACAGATCATTATCTAAAGAAAGCGACCCTCAACTTTGCTGTGCATCAGCAGCTTGCTTGCATATCTTGAACGAATGGTTTACATCAGCACTTCCCAATGCATAGTTTTCTCTCAGTAAGGTCATCGGTACTGATAAGTAAGAGCAGAAAATAAATTGAAATAAACCTGGTAAGTGAAGACTGTTAGTCACTTTTTCATGATATAATACATTCTTAAGAGGAAATAACTAAAAATTCAGTGCAACATGATGCCTTGGTTACTTAAGGTTTTGTACCAGTATCTTTAGGAGTCTCTTTTATCATCTTCTTCTCATACATAGTATTTATTGGAAATAAATATCAGAGGCACAGAAAACAAGTAATGTGCTGCATTTATAGGAAAGATTGATAGAATGGGCAGTTGCCTGAGTTCTGTGCCTGTTTCTAGTCTGTGCCTACTTGTAAAATCCAGCCGTGCTTTTTTTCAAATCAAAATGTATTACTAGCCAACATTTTAGGGAAAAAAAATATATTTTGAAAGGCTGAACATTTCTGAGAGCACATCTTGACAGAAATTTGGCAGTACCTCACTGTTGACCTCAGTCCTTTTGCTGCAGGGGCTTTGCTATTTTCTAGCTATATGACTAACAGGTTCATGTATATTCACAGACATGAGGTAGACGCGTTTATAACAACATGAATGTCATTGCCCCACCTACCTATCTAACTTTTACTCCCTGTAGTTTTATTGGAGGTGTTTTTTTTAGGGAAAGCGTTCTCCATCTTCTCTATATCCATACTGACTAGAGAGTATCCAGAAGCATATAAAGTGGTCCGAGTTACCATGGCTATAGCATTCTTGTGCTCCATACTCTGTGATCATGAAAGATCCAGCTTCATTATTACACAGCATCCAGCACCTTCTGACAGTTTCATCTTCTTTAATCCTGGTGCCTCTGCCACTTAGCAACAGCTAACTATTTTATTGAAGCCTACAGTTTCAGAAGATGGCATGGAAAAGTGGGCGTATTTCCACTTCAAGAACAAGGGTACACAGGAAGGAAAAAAGAAGGCAGAGATCTGTTCAAAACACATTGTTTCAGGAACTGTAGAACTTTTTCCTACATGTATGTCTTACCCCTCCTACTTGTTTCTGCTGCAATAATCTCATGCTTGCATATCCCCTTACCTATCCCAAACAAGCCACCACCACCTCCCTTCCTGGGGATTACTCTCATAACAGAAGAAATTCACCTTCCTTTCACAGGGCTTGAGTGCAGTCACCACAGTCTGGGTCGCTCTTGCTGACAATCTTCATCAAGCTTGTAAGAATATCATATTTTGAGACTCTGAGTCCCCTATTAATTTTTTTTATAAAGTGATCAATGGCAGATGAAAGGAAAAGCAAATGGCATGACTGCATGAAGCCATGCATTCTCACAAAACCAGTTTGAAAAATTTATCTTTAAAGACATACTAGTTACAAATGCTGACATACATTGGTTTACAAATGAGGTAAGAGAAATGAGCAAAAGCTCAGGTTGCCATCATACCTAATAGCACTAAGTAGCAGAGAGTTAGTAGGATAATTAAAAACAACAAAAGTTAGTTCCGATTTGTTTTGCATTGATTAATCAACATAGCTAACTTTTCTGTGGCTGCTGAAGACTAAACTGCAAATCAAATCCTCCAATTAATAGACTCGGCTGGTTCTGCCCAATAGTAAGGGAATGGACTGAAAGATTTATCTTTGCAGATTCTCTGTCCAAACCTCTATTCCTTTCTGTCTCCATTCCAGTGACAGCTAAGATGAAGTTAACCTTCATCAACTTAATCTTTCATAGGAAAGCAGGGCATTCTGTGGCAAGATATCCCTTAGGAAGTGCCTTTTCCATTAGATTTCAGGTGTTATTCTGTTCAAAAACCTGAGCAGAAATTGAAATAAGGCCGAGTGTCCTGACTGCAGATTAGCGCAATGTATGATTATGTTTGTATGAGGAGAAAAAATGTTCTTCAGAGCTATTCTATGAACTCCTTTTTATTGTATTTTAATTCTAGTTAGTGGTGCTTGGAGAGATCAGAGAAGCATTTCTGACACTTAGTTTAAAAATAGGGGAGAAATTCTGTAACTCTTTTTATTTTTACTGTGTATTATTTGAATCCTGTGGATGCATTTGTAGTATTAAATTAAATATTTCAAAGACCATTCTTTGGCATAGAGGCCAACTGGCAATGAACAGCCCATGTCTATGCTATTAAGCTATTTTACATCCAAAATAGTATGCTAACATACAAACTGTCTACTAAGAATGAATCCTGGCCCAAGGCAGCTCCCAAAACGTGCCTAGGAATTATTCTGGCGTGCTAATTGGACATGACAAAAAACATGTTAGGGGCTCTTCTAACAGATTTGAAGTGTAAATGATTGAGTTCAAATGCCCAGGAACACTCTCTAAAAGTGTTTAATCTTCTTTTACAGACAAAACCTCTACTCTTAAATTCAAGATTTTGGTGTTTGGGGTTTTGTTGGTTTTTTTTTTTTATGAGCAGCAAATATTTATATAACTTACCATCAGAGTCTGACACTGCTGGCTCAGATGTTTGAGATACCATGGAGACATCTTCTGGCCTTTCTGCCAAGTTATCTCCTTGCAATCTAAATTGTGGAAAAATGGAACGAAAACATTTGCAATCATATTCCATAGATAAGACAGAAGAGTGTTATCTCTGACTACATACCCTACTCACAACATTGGCTTAGTTAAAAGGGTAGCTTTGCTGAAAAGCCAACATCCATGGTTTAATCATATCATCCCAGATTGTCTAGTAACCAAAACTAGCCTCTAAGAAACAGTCAACTGAATCGTAGCTTATGTATTTTTGTAAGACATTTTAACAACAGTAGGGTTTTGGTGGTATCATGTGCATATGAAATGGCAAACTTCCGTCACTACACTCAAAAATATTTTAATTGAACAGGACTGTAATGGGTGTCCATGTCAAGGTGTTGGCAGCGGGGGCGCTGCAGGGGTGGCCTTGGTGAGGAGAGGCCAGGGCTTCCCTGTGCTGGACACAGGCGGTTCCATCCAGCTCCAGAAGACCCATGGCAGGACACAGCTGAGCCCATCAGGCAAAATGGTGGTGCCTTGGAGAAAACATAGTTAAGGAAGAGCAAACAATGCCACACAGGCAGAAGAACAGAAGAACAGAAAGAGTGGGAAACAGCAGAGGGAACACCAAGGTCAGAGGAGGAGGTGCTCCACGCTCTGGAGCAGATTTTTTTTCCTGAAGGGCTGCAGCCCACAGGGAGAGCCCACACCTAAGCAGGTGAAAAGTGTGAGGAGGAAGGAGGGGCAGAGAGGAGCCATTATGGACTGACCACAACCCCCCATCCCCCGTCCCCCCTGCACTGCTCAGGGGGTGAGGAGTCTGGAGTGAAGGAGCGAAGTTGGGCCTGGGAAAGGGGGGAGGAAAGGTGTGCTTTTAATGTTTGTCTTTTTGTTTCACATTACCTAAATCTATTTTAATTGGCAATAAATTAAAACTAGTTTTCCACAAGTCAAGTCTGTTTTGCCTATGACAGTAACTGGTAAGCAATTTCCCTGTGTTTATCTCGACCCACAAGCTTTTTCATCCTATTTTCTCCCCTCGTCCTGCTGAGGGCAGTGAGTGAGCAAGCGGCTGGGTGGGGGGTTGGCCCTTAGCCAAGGTTAACCTACCACAGGGAAATACATGCAAGACTATTTCCTCCTCCTTTGTTACTTTTTAAAAGAAAAATACAGTAATTATAGCAGGCTTCGTCTTCAGGCTTTTCCCCTGCATCAGCTGACTGCAATGCCTTGACAGCAATTTACAAAAATAGTCCTTGTATCTGTTCTTTTAAATGAGCATTCCAAGAGTCTCACCATCCTTCTTCAGGCTCCTACGAATCCTGAGTACAGATTCTGCTCTGAAGAAATGGTTTGTAGCTCTTAACACAATATAACTGCCATTTACATAAAGGTTATCTTACCTTGAATTTATTCAGACACGAAAAGAATAAGAAAAATGCAATTCAATTTTGCAAAGCCTAGGAATCATAAAAATGCATCGAAGTAAAACCTTGGGGAAAGAAATAACTTCTCTCTTAAAAAAAGTTCCTTTCACTCTGTATTCTCACTCTCTGCAGCTGCTTTACAGTAAACTTTGAACCCCCATATCTGCCCTATCTGAATTTCACATTTTATGACTCTCACGGTTATCTAATATATTTGGATCTTAAGTCATCTACTTGTTGGTACCATCTCAAAACCATTCCCCCCCCAATTACTTTACCTCGTTTTATTGCCCCTGGGATGGTTTATTTATGATGGAAAGCTCAATGTAAATTCATAATTATTCTTACCTGAGGAGGCAGCTCCACAGAGCACAAAACTCCTCAAGGCAACAAAAGTGTAAAACTTAGAAGCTGTAAACCAAATTTTGAAAAGTACTTCTATGAATACTTTATAGCTCTACACCTGGTTTGTAATGCTTTAGTTACCAATTCTTTAAAAGCCTAGCTTGTCAAACAGGCTCTTCTAAAGATGACAGTCAAACAGAAGCAAATAACTTTGTACCATTATCATAATGATATTCAAATAGGGAGAAAACAAATTGCAAATGAAATAACCATGTGAAAAAGGAAGATCTCAAAAATCACATCATTTTCCTTTGCATTAAAATTGACCTGTCCTCCTTCATTACATACATATGCATGTTTACTGCAAGCATGTATTCAAGCTTATTAAGGACATGCATGGAATCGCAGGAACCAGAAGTGATGTACTCTTCTCTGCAGCCATGTTCATAGTTTTTTTGTGTTTAATTAAAAGGAAAATTACTCCAACCTTCTCTGCTTATATTGCAGTCAGTCATAAAAAAATTATCTCTAGAAGTAGGAGCTGCTTTTTTTATCCCATCAGAATTTTCAAGATTTTATAATACGTTCCCATTCTGAGACTTCATAAATCCAAACCAGACATGAACAACTGAAATTATTCTCATTTTATTCTAGAAATTACATATATTTAAGTGGCCCACTGCCTCATGAAAAACATGCAAAAAAAAAATCTTTTCAGTGTATCTAGTCAGAAAAGCCATTTCATATGATTTCCCTTTTTAGGAGGAAACGGCTGGGTGAACTGGGTGGGTGGATGGGTGGGAGGATGGGTGAATAAGATATCTGATGACGTATCTGGACCTCATTTTCACATCCAATTTTCAACTTATTTATGTATTTCTTACATGTGGATTCGTATTGGAATAGATTCTCATGTGACTCAAGCAACAAAAGAAATCACAAACACTACTGCTCGCCAATAGAATTCTGTTACTTGGACTATTCTGATTTCTTCTTCAATAGTAATAATATTCATAAGACACCTCCACAGTAAAATGAAAACACTTAAAAATTCTTAAGCAATAGATTTAGAAAGAAGCATACATCTAAAAGAGTGAAGCATTCTGAAGCACTCATTATACAATCAGAGATGTATTTTCTAATCTGTCCTCGTTTATGCTACTTTCTTCCCTGGTTCATTCTTGCTGAATGTCTTCCAAAAGTGTGTTGCATCACGCTACAAGCATCATTAATGTTGGAAGGTCTAAGCTATGAGATCTACTTATCTGGTCCCTGGTACTACAAAAGCATTTTCATCTCCAGCTCTTTTTCTTGCAGACTAGTTGTACACAGAAGTGTAAACTCCAAGGTAGACTTGATTCTTTATTGCCAGATACCAGATAGAAATTCCTTTAGCAAAAAAAGGTAAAATGATGACCAAAATGTTGCGTTGGAACTTTTCATCCACTGTTTTGGAAAAGGTGATTATAAAAAGAACAATGTATATGAGAGTCACATCCTTGATTGCAAAGCAATCTAAAAAGAGTCAAGCTTTTCCAAACTGGTGGCTAGCTTTGAAAATCTTCGCTGTTATTTTCAATGTGTACTCTTAAAAAAAAAACCACCCAAAACCAAGTTACCTAAAAATTACTATCTTACTAATACTTTACAGACTATTTCAGTTATTAACTGAAACATTATTTCACCTATTAATTATTTTAATGGGAGTCTAAACTTGATACCTGAGAGTCAACATTTTTTTCTATATACATTCTGTTTATAGTGTGATCTCTTGCTTAGAGGCCATTGTTTCAGTTACATTCAACCAGTTGCATGTTGGAGCTTCAAGAGCTACAAAGGCAAACAGCCTCCAGGCAAATATTTCAATTTCCTTTGACCCAAAAATGCATTCTGTAGGACTTGTTCCAAGAAAACTGCCAAAGACATTCAGAATAAGTTCTACAGGATGGGTGCAGCAGCATTATACCAGGTCTATCACTACAAACAAGCTTGTGGGTGTGTGAAACACAGTCATACTGCCAGTATGATTTAGAAAACATGATACTATAAGACTATGCAAAAAAAGGACAAAACGATTTCATCTACATTCCTTGAATGAGTCACAGAGGAAGGCAACAGCAAATAGGAAAAATAGAGTCAAGATTGAAATTACAGATCTTTTTTTTTCTTCCACTACTTTGAAAAGGTCTTTTCACACTCCTGAACAATCTATAAGCACACACATTATTATCTAAGAAATGGCAGTAACTAAAGTCAGCAAAAAGAAAACTTGTTGATTCCTTTGCTGAACGCGACCATTTAGGATGTTTTTCTTTCTTAAAAGAAGATTGTTGGAGAACAGGGCATGCCATCAAGATGAGGATATTACAATTTGATATTTCAATAGAAGTCACCTAATTTTACCAGATGAAAAAAATACTAAGATGAAGCTATTATTTGAATCCCAGTTGCTAAACTGAAATGAAAATGAGGTTAACTCCGTGATTCACGTTACGTAGCCTCTCACCAATGAGGCTGTGTGAAATAACCTACATAAAACCCCATTCTGATTAATATGGCAACCTCTTTTTGAACATCATCAATATTTCCCTAGCAATTTTGAGTGTCCAACACCACCTCAGAACACATTGTTCTGTGGTATCACAATTATCAACAGTCTTACTGAAACACTTGTAAATCCCTATGATTACAGAGGTTGAAAACAAGTCACTGCCTCACTGATTTAATCCTGCGGGCAGTGCAAGAAGCAATACCCTAAAGAAGTATCAGATACTAATTCCTACTCTAGTTCCATTTGTTGCAAAAAAAAGTGAAATAAAGCAGACTAATAGCCATAAATGTTTCACCTTATTTCCATTTTCAAGATGACAGCATGTTCCAGGGGAATTTTACAGGGATTAAATATGCAGCATGTAAGTATCCGTAACATAAATTTAGTGACAGGGACATTGTACACCATGCGAGTGGGCTAAGGATTCAGTGCAGATCTGTATTTCCTGCCTGGTAGATGAGCTCTGTTGAGTGGCTGTTTGGTGGAGTCCAGCTGGAAGAGACTGATCAAGTGCTACAAAGTCTCAAGCTTCTCTTGCGCCTGACCTTTCAGAAAGACCCATTCTAGCACTCAAAGAAAGATTCTTGAGCTTTTCTGATGGCACAACTTAATGAGGAAATGCCTCATGGACTAACTTTATTTTCCTTCCTAGCAACCTCCTCATCCTCCCACCCTGTTTTCAAAGATACAATAACATCCCTGTGGCAATCCAATCATTACTATC